GAGCATGGATGTTAGCTCAGGGCTGATCTTCCTCAAAAAAAAAAAAAAAAAAGACATGAGAGAAGGTGGGGAGGAAAGGGTCTTTAGTTGTCTCTATAATATTTTACTGCATTTATTTTTTTAAAAAAAAACTAGGCTTTTTAAGAAAAAAGATTGGAAAAGTGAAGTTTTTGCTTATTTCCAGATAAAGATGAAAGTCTCCCTTAGAACTTAATTATAAAATTCTCCATAGTCACTCATTATCTTTCACCACTGACATTAACAAAAGTATAGCCCTCCATCCAGGGGCCATTCCGAAGGGCTCCTGACACGTGTTAGCCCCCCACCAAGAGACTCCCAGGAAGGCTTGCCCAGACTGCAATGTTTGCATGAAATGATTTGGATACATTTTCTAAAAGCACAAATTTCAGCTCCGAATACAACTGAAAGCTAGGCAGTCTACAACTGGCTGGCAAGCAGGCTGGCAAAGACTCATTTTAGCCTACTAGGTGAGAAACTGAAAACGCCTGGGCTCTACACCCAAACATTAGAACATACATTCACTTCAAAATGCAATCAGAAATCCAGACCAAAAATTGTTTTCTCAAGGGCACAGAAACAAAAGGGTACAGAAATAAAACAATACCAATGTCAATAAGTACTAATTATTCCATAAAGACAAATATTACCATTACACTAAGGATTATGCAATGAGTATGCTTATAAGTATAGAGTAAGTTTAAAATCCCTCCAAAAAACCCCAACAAATGCAAAGAGGCTAAATTATAGATCAAAATCATTTCAGTTCTCTTTAGATTAGCCTGATACTGTGACTGAGGGAGTCTTGTACTGTAGCCCCATGGCCAGAAGTGTGAATTTAGCTATTTGATAGAAGAATTAGCTTACTATCATACATTAAATGATTGTTCTTATCAATAAAACTTACAATTCAAAAACTATAATTATTTTAAACACGAAATAGATTAGACTATTACAATCCTTTGGTCCACTGTTAGCCTTTCTTTAATAATTTCAAAATTTTAAAAAGTCAAAAATGTGGAGAGATTTGTGTCACTAAATGGCGTTCATCATTGTTCACAGAATAAAACCCTTAATTGATTAATGATCTCAGGGTGTCTATCGCCATCTAGTGAACAATCACTTCAATTACCGCAACAGTCACTTGACAACCGAATCCGTTTTCTTGGTGATTTAAAATATATGTCCACTTAGAGCTATCAACTTTCCCAGTATCTTTTTTATGTCTCTCTCCACATACATTGAGAACAAATACAAATACAGATTGTATTTATATAGATTCACTTTTGAGCGTCTGTAAACTCAGTTTCCATATTACTTCTCTGGAAACACTAACTTCATCATTTTTAAATAACTTGCACGCTATGAGGTCCCTCATACAATTCCCTAACCATTAACTAATTCCTCTACCACCGAGCAATTAAAAATCATAGAAGAGTTTAAGTGTGAAAGATCACACCTGGGAAAAGACAATATTGATGTCCATTTGACACAACCATTAGCATTTTTATTATAAACCTGTTTTTAAAAGTACAATTAGTAATTACTCTGAGTACTCTAGCAGCCATAATACATTTGATTACAGACATTATTAGGTCACCAGAGCCAAACCTGCATGATTCCAACAAAACTAAGCACACACAAAATAGACTTAAAAATAAAAAGGGAGGGGGGCTTAAGGCCTCCCCAGACTGTGTATTAATCCATATTCAAATGCAAAATTTTATAATCTTTTCAGATGACATGCTACCAGGTTTCCTTCTCATTAATTTCCACTTGAACCTTAATCCAATTTATCCCACAAGGACTTTAAAAGCAAACAACTTCTAGGATCTTCAGGTTACTATATTATTTTGTCCCCTCTATCCTATTACAAAAAAGACCAGTGTGATAAGTTACAAAGGTATTCCAAAATCTCAGCAAACTAACTCTCATTTTACACTTCACTCCTCCCACCTCTTTAATAACCAAGAGCTGCTTGAAATCACAAAGGCCTAAAAGCATATATGGAAAACGCTAGTAAACCCAAAGACAGATCATCACAGAGGATGTTTCCATTTGCCAGTGCTAATAATTATCACCAACACTTTAACAATCACTTTTATTTTAGGAAATAATTTCTGTAAGTGGCTTTGAATCTTCTTCTAGAATAAGATTTCTAGGGAGCAAGTGTGTAATTATTATTTCTCATTAACCTCACATTACTTTAAAGGCCCACTTTCCACAGTTGTATTTATTATTTGTGGGAAGGAGCAAAGGGGAAAGTAGAAACCAAGAATTTAAATCACATATGATTGTTTCTAGATTTGTCTGACATTCTTTTTTAGTGGCGAGAGCAGGGGTTTTTTAATAGTTTATTAAGATTTGTTACTGCTATATTTTATACAACAGAAAAATAAAAACTGAATTTAAACTCCCTATTAAAAATCTAGCTAACCGAAAATACTGCCCTTAAAGTACAATGGATTAGGGGAGTGGGGGAGATCATTGGACAAATTTGGGGCTTATCATTATCAACAGTGCCCTTTTAAGCTTGTGGATTTCTGAGCCAATGCAGAAAATGTAACAACAGGGATTTCCCAACAGCAAGAGGCACTCTCCAAGGGAGTAAATTGTCAACTATTGCCTCTCCTGAGAAACTTAAGAGTAACCTTGATCCAATCTCAATAGTCAACCCATGTATTATCACCCAGTTGGGGCATAGTGAGTGCATTTCCTAACACAAAAATAAGATGGTATTCTATCAGAAGCCACTGGATACACATACAGAAATAAAATTTAAATAATTTTGAAGTAAACTTAGCCTAAGAAACTGAAAACATCCTACCCTCACTTCAACTAGCCCCTAAAACACCTATATCTTTTTATGTAAAAAGGCCTGTGTCTTGAGATGAGTATTGAAAAAGATGTTCTTTCAGGAATAAGAGGTAGAATATAAAGCAGAAGCACAGTCATGAAAGATATTCTGAGCTGGGGCAGACAACCCCTATGTAGTAAAAGCCTTACAATCCGCAAGATATGGATTCTAATTCAAAATAGTCACTTGGTATACTTCACCTCTTTGAGTTTAGCTTCCTCATCTGTAAAATGGGAACAATACTATCTATATCAATGGATTCTTGTGAGGTTCCCCCCCCCAAAGCCCCAGTAGATAGTTGTATGTCATAGTTGCACATCCTTCTAGTTGCTGTATGTGGGATGCGGCCTCAGCATGGCCGGAGAAGCGGTGCGTCGGTGCGCGCCCGGGATCCGAACCTGGGCCACCAGCAGCGGAGCGCGCGCACTTAACCGCTAAGCCACGGGGCCGGCCCTCTTGTGAGGTTTTAATGAAATAATGCCTCTGAAAGCTTCTCACATGTCACTGGTGTCCAATACACGGTTTTCCCTTCCTCACAGCGCCCTAAGCCAAGATAGGGCTGCCAACAGAAGAGCAGTTCTGAACATCCTGTTTCACGCCAGCTAAACGTGTGCTGTCCACTATAGTAGCCACTAGCCACATGTGGCTACTTAAAGTTAAATTTATTTTAACTATAATTAAATAAAACTCAAAATTTAGTTCCTCAGCTAGCTGGCACATGCTCCCTAGCCACTTGAGGCTAGCAGCTATTGTGTTGGAGAGTGCAGATGGAGAACATTTTCATCATCTCAAAGTTCTATTGGACTGCACTGCTCTAGACTCTGAAGCAGGGATCAGCCATTTTTTTCTGAAAAGGGCCAGAGATTAAATATTTTAGGCTTTGCAGGCCATGCAAGTCTTGATTTTGACTATTCAACTCTGCTGTTGTAACGCAAAAGCAACCACAGATGATACATAAACGAGAGTGTGGCTGTGATCCAAAAAAACTTTATCTACAAAAATAGATGGCAGGCTGGATTTGGCCCATGGGCTGTAGTTTGCCAACTCCTGCTCTAGAGTATTCTGAGTCAAGACCCCCAATACGAACATTCTGCCCATAACCACCAACTACCTCCTTAATACTGAGTAGTCTTAAATCCACGGACAGGAATCAATAGTTTACTGGAGTTAAATGGAATTAATATTTAAGGTAACTATTCTTTTACAAATTAAGAAAAACCCATGCACGTGGTGCTAAAGCAGGTGAAGTTCATGTTTACAAAGTGACAGCACTTCAAATCTGTTTGGTATCTGGCCCATCTTTCCAAAGCCAATAACTCTCAATCCATAACTCCAGTCCTGATATATTCCTGGAATCGTGGACTTTTACATCCAACCGCCTACTTAATATGCCTAGAGATCTATTACAAACCTCAAAGGTAACACAGTCAAGATAGAACTCTTAATCCCTCTCTCCCAGATTTCTCCATCTTAGTAAATGGCTCCACTAGCTAACCAGCTATAAGACAAAAATGGAGGCATCCTCGTTGATTTCTTCCTTTCCCTCACACTCCAACCTAACACATCAGCAAAAAAACTAGCTCCCTTATGACACTTAGGTCTCATTCATGTTGCCTCCTAAAGAAGCCTTCTCTGACCAATCTAAACAAGCCATCTTAACATTCTCTAGCCCACCACCCTGTTTTAATTATCTGCACAACATTTACTTCTATCGTATTCTCTTAGTTATTTTTTGTATTTGTTTATTCACTTATATTTACAGGCTGTCTTCCCAAACTACTCTCTCCCTGCCCCAAGTCCCCAATGCATGCCCCTCTACACCCCCTACCCTAAGTAGAATGTGAGCCTCATGATGCAGGGATCTTTCACTACTTGCTCATCACTCTATCCCCAGAGCCTAGAACAATGCCTGCCACATAATAGATGCTCAATAAATACACACACACTTCATGGATGAATGAATGAATCCTTATATAAAAGCCTATCTGTCTCAAATTTGCCCTGAGAAAGGAGTATTTGAAGCTGTATAACTAACAGCTAGGCAACAAAGTTGGCTCTCCCACACTATAACACGTATAGTTAAAAATACTCTCATTTTCAGAAATGTGAATGTTATGCTATTTACCTCCCTTCCTTTGTATGTCACCAAAGCAGCCAGTGGTTTCGCATAAAATCTGCTGTAGGAAAATCCCAGGCAGCCGTACATACTGTTTGCCGTGAGCTTCAAAGCCTTCTGTCGGATGTCATACTGCAGGCCACACAAGGACAAAAGACAAACAACAATATTTGCAGATGCTTAAACATTACATTAGATGCCTCTCTAGATCACCAATGAGAAGGAGAAACTCTCAATATCTCTGAAAAAACTCTTAACACACTCTACCTGTCCTCCCAGATCCATGATTCCCTGACCTCCTAGAAGCAAGTAAACACAGACTCCAACACTCCCAGAAGTCAGAAGGATCTTGCTCAGATACAGCTTTGCAGATAGAGATGCCTTCCATTCTGAGGCATTCTAGTGTTTTCGAATGGTTTCCTACCCATAAACTTAAAATAAGCACATGTATTTGCCCACAGCATCTTGTTTAAATCACTCCTAAATAATCAAATTCTAAAAGCTGAGACTGTCACTCAGATGTCTCTAAGTGAAAAGATATACCTGAAGAACAAGGTCTGGATTTAAATCTTGCTGTTTCATTAGCTGTTTGACTTGTTTTCTCCGCTCTACCAGTTTCCGGATCTCTCTGGGCAAAATGCCCATTTCTAAGCTTGGATCTGGCAGCTCAGGGATCTGTTCTTGTTCTCCATCCTGATGAACACACAACAGAAATTTCAGACAAATCAAACTTTCGTGAAATAAATTTCTAAAATAATATCTTGTGGGAGCTTGACCTCATGATCGCATCTTGAAAATCTACTTTCTTATATAAGCAAAGATCAGCAATGCACGGGTGGTAGAAAAAAGAGCTGAGATCGTTGCACAACAAGTCAATACTGCCCTCTCTTCTCCCAGTTCTATGAGCCCGTCATTCTCAGTATCTCCCACCCCTCTAGTTACTGACAAATGTAGATATCACTTAAAGGGATGAATTTTTACACATGCTCCTCTCCTCTCTTCAACAATTGGGGAGCAACATGTTTGGGGAAATTGCTTTTAAAATAAAAACACTAAGAGAAACCTCTAGGATTCAAAAAAAAAAGCAGCTAAACTACTGTTTTAAGTCATGTGTACTACCAAACAAAATGGTATAGAATTTTTAAAACTATATAGAATCATAGCAATCATTGTAAATGTTTTAGACTAAAAAATAAAAGTCTAAATTCTAAATCAGCAAATTTCTTTTAGGAATTTGGAGCACATATTTAAATAGGCCATGACATTTCTAAAAAATAATACATATATATTCCTTAGCATTTATGTGGTACCTTTCATCTATAAATTGCTTTGCAATCAGTAGAATAGCAACACAAAGCAACCAGCAGTCTTCTTATATTAAAATTTACAGCAGGAAAAAGCAAGGAAAGCATTAGACCATTTTTCTCAAGCCTCCATTAATTCTATTAACAGGCTGCAAAGAAAAGCCAGGCACGTTTGCCCTTTCAAAGGTTCAGAATTAAAAATAAACCTCTTGGCTTAAAGTATGTCAAGTCAATGCCATTTGATAACCCAGCCTTTACAAAGTTATCTGATTTTATAAAGATCAATATCTTCAAATGAACCATCTTACAATAGTAACAGGGACCTATTGTTTTCCAATATAGCAGATGATGACAGTAAACCAACTAAAGAGATCTTGGTACACATTACAATTTATTTACAGCAACTATGGTGGTCAGATAAGTGAAAGGATTTAGGGCCAGGAAATTTACAATCCATGCCCAGCTCAACCACCACTAGCTGTGTGGCACTAGCTGTTCTGAAGACCAAATGAGGTACTGCACAGGAAAATGATATAGAACCTATAAATTGCTACATGTATAATATTTCTTAGATGACCTCTAAGGTCCCTTCCAACTCTGAAATCATTCTATTATATATCCAGGATCCAAACTGGAAAGCTCAAATAAACAAAATGGTGGCAGTGGATGGGGTGCCGAGTAATGATAATTATCACAATGCTGACACAGTAGCAGGACAGAGCCCAAAGAATATTATTAATTGAATGCAGTTACTACCTTTTGGGGATGTCTACCCAATACAGTCGGCCCTCCATATCCGTGGGTTCCACATTCACGGATTCAATCAACTGTGGAGACTGTACTATGCTTCAGATCTGCAGTTGGTTGAATCTGCAGATGTGAAATGCGCAGATACAGAGGGCCAACTAAGGGACTTGAGCACCCGCAGACTCTGGTATCTGAGGAGCGTCCTGGAACCAATCCCCTGCGTATACCGAGGGACGACTGTACCTTCTCTGTAAAATTATCCCCTATTCCCACAGAAAGGCCCATCCTTAGCAGCCATATTTGCACTCTGTGAACTCACTCCTGTTTTCATACTTGATAGGACCAGGCATGCTCACCAATCTAGGCACGACTATAAGATTCTCTCTTCTGGGAATACAGAATTGGAACTGAAAAACAGCTCCCAAGCATGTGGTTGGAACTAAAAGACATGTAAGTACACGAGCTAGAGGGCAAACAGACATCTTCTGCCATGTGTACAAAGAAGCAGAGAAAAACAACATACAGAGATAATATGTTAATTTATCTTTTACTGCTGGAGAACCAACTGTAATCAAATTCCCCACTGACAGTCAATTGTATAAGTTTTATATATGAAGAACCACACATTAAGTTATTAAGCCCTACATAAAACTGTTGACTGAATGATCACTAGTTAGATTAAAATCCATGCGAGACAATTCCAAAAGATTCTTTTAAAAAGGCTGTTTAGTGAGCAGAATCATTAAGAAATGCTTTCATGGCTAAAATAGCAAGTGTTGGAGATGATGGGGAACAAGTCGCATACATGGCTGGTGGGAGTGTAAAATGGTACAACTACTTAGGAAAACAATTTGAAAGTTTCTTATCAAGTTAAATATACACTTCCCATGCAAACCAGCAAATTCACTCCCTAGGTATTTACACCTCAAAAATGAAAGCACACGTCCACAAAAGGTAATGTTCACAGCAGCTTTATTCATAATAGCCAAAAAATGAAAACACTCCAAATGCTCATCTCAGGAGAATAAATAAACAAAATGTGGAATCTTCTCAGCAATAAAAAGGAAAGAACTACTAATAATGCAACAACATGGAGGAATCTCAATAACACTATGTTGAACAAAAAAGCCAGACACAAAAGAGTACATACTGTATCACTCCATTTATATGAAGTTCTAGAACAGGCAAAATTAAGCTATAGTGATAGAAGTCAGATCAACGGTTGACTGATAGGAGAGGGGACTGACTATAAAAAGCCATGTGGGACATACCAAAATGTATGGGATGAAGCTAAAGCAGTGCTTGTAAGGAAATTTATAGTTGTAAACACCTATATTAAAAGAGAAGATCTCAAATCAATAACCTAATCTTCCACCTTAAGAAACTAGAAAAAGAAGAGCAAACTAAACCAAACCAAAGAAAGCAGAAAGAAGGAAGTAATAAAGATTAGATAGAGTGAAAATAAATGAAACAGAGAACAGAAAAGCAATAGAGAAAATCAAGGAAACCAAAGTTACTTCTTTGAAAAGATCAACAAAAGTGACAAACTTTTAGCTATACTGTCAAAGAAAAAAAGAAGACTCAAATTACTAAAATCAGGAATAAAAGAAGGACACTACTACGGACCTTAAAGAAATGAAAATGATTATAAGGGAATATTATGGACAATTTTATGGAAACAAATTAGATAACCTACATGAAATGGATGAATCCCTAGAAAGATACAAACTGCCAAAACTGACTCAAGAAGAAATAGAAAATCTGAATAGATCTATAACAAGAGATTGAATTAGTAATCAAATACAGACACAAAATTCCTCAACAAAATACTAGTAAATCAAATCTAGCAATATATAAAATGGATTATACACCAAACACCAAAACCAAGTGGGATTTATCCCAGGAACGCAGGCTGGTTCAACATACAAAAATCAATGTAATACACCATATTAAAGGAATAAATGACAAAAACCACATGATCATCTTAATAGATGCAGAAAAAGTATTTGACAAAAATCCAACACCCTTTCATGATAAAAACACTCAACAAACTAGGAACAGAAGGGTAATTCCCCAACCTGATAAAGCCCATCTATGGAAAATCCACAGTTAACATCATACTTAATGGTAAAAGACTGTATACTTTCCCCATAAGATCAGGAATAAGACAAGGATATCCGCTCCTGCCACTTCTATTCAACATCGTACTGGAGGTTCTAGTCAGGGCAATTAGGCAAGAAAAAGAAATATAAGGCATCCAGATCGGAAAGGAAGAATTAAAACTATCTCTATTCACAAATAACATGATCTTGTATACAGAAAATCCAAAGAAATCCACAAAACTATTAGAACTAATAAATGAGTTCAGCAAGGTTGCAGGATATAAGATCAATGTACAAAAATTAATTATATTTCTATAAGCCAGCAATGAACAATCCAAAAATTAAATTATAGAAAACAATTCTATTTAGAACAGCATCAAAAAGAATGAAATATTTAAGAATAAATTTAATAAAAGAAGTGTAAGACTTGTACACTGAAAACTAGAAAACATCGTTGAAAGAAATTAAAGACCTAAATAAATAGAAAGACTATTTTCGTGGACTGGAAGAATATTGTTAAGATGGCAATACTCCCCAAATTGATTTACAGATCCAATACAATCTCTATCAAAACCCCAGTGAGCATTTTTGCATAAATTGACAATATGACTCTAAAATAAACAAAATGTGATATATAGCCATACGATGGAATATTATTCAGCAGTAAAAAGGACTGAAGTACTAATACATGCTAAAACATGGATGAATCTTGAAAACAGTATGCTAAGTGAAATAAGCCAGACACAAAAGGTCACACATGATTCCATTTATATAAAATGTCCAAAATACACAAATCTATAGAGACAGAAATATTAGTGGTGCCTAGATTTGGGAGGGATGGAGGAATTGAGGACGGTTATAGCTAAAAGGTAGGGATTTCTTTGGGGAGTAATGAAAATGTCCTAAAATTGACTGTGGTGAAGGTTGCAAACTCTATGATTACACTAACAGCCATTAAATTGTACACTTTAAATGGGTAAACTGTATGGTACGTGAATTATATCTCAATAAAGCTGTTAAGTAAAAAAGATACTGAACCAGTCTGAGTCTCCTTCTAATCAAACCTCCTCCTTTTTTGACAACTAAGAAAGGACATAATGTATCTTTTAAAAGGAAAAACTAGAATGCTAACCCCTTTGGTTCTCTTCCTTCTTTAAGCACTACTTTTAATCTCAATTTCAAGAGCCCCCAGGCGAATACAAACCTCTGTAACTCTCTGTGTCTCTGAAGCAACTCTTTGCACTGTTGTAAAACAAATGTTGAATTCCTGAATGATGGAAGGATATAAACTGTTGAAGTCCAGAAGCAAAATGAACTTATCATAAAAACCTGAAATAAAAAAGCCATATAATGTCATAAAAAGTCTAAAAAAAAAAGATTTGTCCAAATATCACATTAGAAGTACTATAGTACAAAGTCTATTAGAAACTATATACTATCCAGAGCTGTGAGGTAGACAAAAGGAAAAAAGGAGTTGACTACCGCTCCATAAAAATGATTTGGATTAGAGTGAAAACTCAGGTCACAAATGAAGATCCTGTCTTGCCTTTGAAACCAGCTACATCCGGTCCTTTCCCCAGCAGTCCCCAAAGCACACCATTATTATGGGCAAACACCTTCCTGTATCAATTACTTTTGACAGGTCTCATATCCATTTCAAAAAATGTGGTTAAATTCTCCTTCAAGCAAGCATTCCCTCTCACCTACTCTACCACTCTCACCCCCGCCCCCACCCCCAAAATGTCTAGTGATTTATGCCAATGAGTGGTTATATATATATCTTTTACAATCACACCCTCAAAGAATAAAATGGGCAGCCCATTTACCTGTACACAAACTGTGCTAAAATCAGACAAGAGATGTATATATAAATGTCAGTAGTGGAACGATCCACCCTTTTTACTTGCAAAGGGTGAACAGAAAGCTACTATACTTCTCTAGGACATTTATAAAGAGTTATCTTCACCTTGAGAAGAAACTGAATAAAAATAAATGTCCACTATTAAGACAATAATAACAACAGCAAACATACTGATAGCTTACTCTGTGTCAGGCACTATACTAAACACCTTTATTCCTATAAAGGAATAAAATCATCTTTAAAATAAGGCACTATAAAATCATCTTTATTCCTTAAATCTCTGTGTGGTAGATGTTCTTCTTATCTCCATTTTAAAGAAGAGGAAACTGAGGCTTACAGAGGTTAAACAAGCAGCCCAAGATCCCACAGCAGAATTCCAGCCCAGATCTATCTAACGCCAAAGGACCACTAATCTGTTTCATTACAACTAATAATAAAATTGCTTTTGTCAAAAATGTCTCTTACTCAGAGTTCAAGTTACTTGATAAAATTCACATTAATTCCTGTACAACAGTGTGAATATAGTTAACAATACTCAACTGTACACTTAAAAATGGTTAAGATGGTTAAAAAAAAAGATTCTAGCTCTGTGTATGACGAAACATCTGTCATTCACGACAGGGAAAAGTTAGTCTCCTGTTCAAGTTCAATTTGGTGGTTACTGTCTGTACTTTCTTTAACTTTGCTGTCCAACTGAACTGGTCCTGGCATGTGGGGCAGAGGTGGAGCCCACCCTCCAAGGGTGGATGAGAGAAGACAGAGGTGCTCCTACCACAAGACAAATAGCCATATACTGGGGCCAGGGGTTGGCAAACTATGTGCAGACCAAATCCAGCCTACCCCCTCTTTTTGTATCACGCACGAGCTGAGAATAGTTTTTACATCTTTTAAATGGTTGAAAAAAATCAAAAACAGAACACTTCATGATACATGAAAATTACACAAAACTGAAATTGCAATGTCCATAAATAAAGCTTTCTTGGAACACAGCAAAAAAATTCATATTAATTCCATGTCAGGTGACTGGCAAACAAGATTTTCACATGAATATAAGATAAAAAATAAGGTCACCATGAGATCTATTTGCTAACCTACAAAATACTCAGGTCTCCTAGTTTCTCAAGCCTAGCTCTGTATTAAGAAATTCCTTAACACACGTGGCAAACCAACCCACTGGCCAGCCTCACCAACTTTGGGCTCCAACACCAAGCCTCCAGCATAAGCTGCTTTCTTCCGTCCTTTCTTATATTTATTGGTATCTCCATCAATGTCTTCATCTTCATCTCCCTAATAATCAAATGGAAAGATAACTTCACCAGCTGGTAACTAATTAATTACGAAGTTTTATGATTCCCCCTTTTCCAACTGCAGTCACAGTTCTAACAAACATTCTTTACTTTTAGTTAGTAGTCCTACCTGTGGGGAAAGACAGTTATTGTAATATGTTCATGAATCCAAATGAATGTCAAGCATGGTAGTTACTGAAACAAATACTCTATCTCTGAGTTAATAAATATGCAAATCCTACCTTAAAATGTTTCTGAATTCATAGAAACTTATTTTTAAATTAATGGATACTAAAAATACAACTCTTCATATTACATAAAATTTGAGACTGTCCAAGAGTGCTCTTAAATTCACTACCCTAACATTCGTGAAGTAAAAATACAAAATATTTCATATAGGTATTATCATTATTCTCATTATTAATATGGACACCTTAAAACAAGTATGTTCATATACTGAAAATCCATTCCCAAGTAGTTTATCAATGGCCAACATTCAATACCTAAGCAGAATTCAAATAAACTCCTCTAAGTTAATATCCCCTACACAAATTTTGATAATGTGCATAAAACAAGCAAACACAAGAATCTGAATCATTTTAACATGAAATTCCCACTCTGAATCAAGTACTATCAGTGTTGATAAAATAGTAGCTAAGTTTAGCTCCAATGTGATGAAGGCCACTTCAAAAACCTGATTGTGGTGACCTTAATCCTACTAGTACAAAAAAATGCAACAATGCAACACAAAAATAAAGGTTCATGGGTTTAAGTAAATAAAAGGTTTAACTGGCATCTAACTTTGGATAGGGCTAAGGCGGCAAAACACTTTCCATGTAGGCTCACCCACCAGGGAGGCCTAATACCTCCCTCAAAAATTTCATTTTTCACGAATAATTTTTACCTGTACAGAGAAAAGTGGAGAAGGAAATGACCAAACAAATACAACAGAACAAACTTGGCATGGTTTCTACAGTATACAGGGGATTGAATATTTTGGAAGCAGATGTTATCACAGCAAAAAAAAGGTATGTAGGTAATAAAAGGGGGGAGGGATAAGAAAAGGCAAAACACTATACAATTTTGGACCCACCAGTTTTTGCTGAGGCTTTCTGAAAATCTGCTTGTCAGGCACAATATAGTTGTTTTCATAAAATGCATGAAGCAACAAGAACTCGTTACGCTCAGATCGTCCACCCATCAGCGTCCTAGACTATTAAATAGAATTTCCTTTTTAAATTTGAGCTTAAAACCACAACAAACAAAAGCAACTTTGAGTTGGCAGATTTAATCATAGCACCTCCTTCAAAATCATTCCTCATAAGAAGGGCTGCTTAAAAAAACAAAGGTACTAAATTATTTCTAGCATTTTCTCTAAGCATTATAGTTAAAAGGAGACAAACAGAGCTTAAAATATTGACAACTTGGGCTATTTCTTTACTCCCAAATGGACCACTCCACAAATCAGACACATCCAGATGTTAGAGATGATCTTTATATCCACTCAAATTTCAGCATACTGCACCTGGCTTTCCTCCCCTTCTCCCAACCAGTTCTTCATTTTACAAAAGAAGCCCAGCTTCCAGAATACAAGTTACTCATTTTATAAGCATGCATTTAGACTCATTATCATATAACAACTACCCCAAGCAAACACTGAATCCAACAGGAAATGCTTTCTCCCCCTTTCTAAGTTAAATTTACCATAATGTTCCCAGCGATGTTAGTGATCTGCAATGCTAATGGAAGAACATTTAGCTCACACATGATCTGCAAAATGAACCTGGCATCTTTCCAGGTGTGTTCCAACAGGTACAACAGATGAGAAGATTCACTGTACAGCAAAGTAAGAATGAAACAGAATCAAGTAATTAAAAGAAACAATGACTATAATCAGAACTTCATAAAATATTACAAAAAATTGGCGGTATAAGATATAAGTAACTTCAGAGCAACTGCATCTCAGCTTTGGAAACAATTTAAAATAAGGTCGGTATGTAACTAGGAATTCATTCATACCGTTGATCCCAATGTCCTTCTCCAAAACACAAAAAAAATCCCACAAAGATGAAGTGAACTTATGTGTTAACTACAACCTGAAAACCACCTAAATCCTTTCATTCATTCCATCCAGTAAGTATACATTACATGCCTACTACGTGCCATGCCGGCTGTGACCAAGACAAAAATTCCTGTCCTCATGGGGCTTATGTCCTCATGGGGGAGACAGAGTATAAATAAAAAATTAAATATATGGTATGTTACATAATGCTAAGTGTCAAGGAGAAAAAATTAAGAAGCAAAAGGAATACTAAGTGTCAGGAGCAGAGACTGAAATTATAGTTAGGGAACCGGGGAAGAGTTCACTGAGAACAAAGACCTGGAAGAGGTGAGGGGGCAATCCTTGTGGATGGATATCTCAGGGAAGAGCATTCCAGGCAGACAGAACAGCACATTCAAAGGCCCTGAGCTGAGTGCAAATCTGGCAGTTCCAGGACCAGGAAGGAGACCAATGGCTGGAACAGACAGAATGATGGAGAGAGCAGTAGAAAATAAGGACAGAGTTAACGGCAGAGAGACACACTGATAGGACCTTGTAAGTCAAAATAAGGACTTTGGTTTTTACTCTGAATGAAACAGAAAGTCACTGGAAGATTTTGAGCAGAGTGTCATATCTGACTTAACTTGAGCAGAATAACTCTAGTTCCTCAGTTGAGAACAGATAGCAAAAGGGTCAAGGGCAAAAGCAAGGAGACCAGTGAGGAGGCTAATATAAGAGCCAGAAATCCAGGGGAAAAAGGATGGTGGCTTGGCAGGGTGGGTCCAATGGAGGGGAAAAGAAGAAGTCAGATCTAGACATATTTTGACGATAGAGCTGACAGGATTTCCTGATGGATGGAACGTAGGATATCAGAGAGAGGAATCATAGATGCCTCAGAGGTTTGGGGCTGAGGATGACTTTGGAGGTTTCCAGCAGTACTGGAAAAATAAGAGTTGCCATTACTTAAGGAAAGACTACAAGAGGAACCTAGCGGAGAAGATCAGGAGCTCAGTTTTTGAAAAAGTTAAGCTGGAGGTGATTCAAATTAGACATCAAGTAGAACATGAGTCTGGAATTCAGGGGAGAGGTTTAAGCTGCAGATATGCAGATGGGAGGCACCAGTATCCACATAGTATTGAAATTCCCGAGACTTGATGAGATCACTTAGAGGGAGCACAGTCAGAAAGAGAATGAGAAGTGGCCAGAGGGGTAAAAGAAATCTTATTTAAGAAATAATCAAAGTTTCAATTACACAAAATGAATAAATTCTGGAGATCTAAGGTGCAGCAATGTGACTACAGGAAACAATATTGTATACTTGAAGTTTGCTAAGAGAGTAAATCTGAAGTGTTCTCACCACAAAGAAAGAAAACAAATAGTAACTATGTGAGGTGATGGATATGTTAATTAGTTTGACTGTGGTGATTATTTCACAATGTAATGTATATCAAACATGGAGTTGTACATCTTAAAAATATACCATTTTTGTCAATTTTACCTCAATAAAGCTGGAAAGAAAGAAATAATTAAGCAGTATCTCTAAATAACTTAATGATTTCTCAGTTTTTACACTTCCAAAATATTTACACTAATTCCTGAATTAATGAATTCAGGGTAGAAACCTAAAGATCACATCAATTTCCAACCTGCTCTCAGAAAACATCAAGACCGTGTTAAGATAAGTGAGGGAGATGGAGATAAAGTGATCAAATTAGAATAATTCAAGAGGCAAAATAGTTCAAATTATTAAAGTAATGGAGATGGTGGTGCTGACTTGAACACAATTTTTCCCTCTGTAGCACCACACACCACACACTCCTATCCCTCCAGCCTAAGGATGACACTTGCATCATGCTGTTGCTAATTTCAAGACAAATTCTGAAGCATCCAGGATCATACCTGTACATATTTTGTACATTTTCCATTGGGATTACAACCCTTTCAGTTTTCAGAATCTGTTGAACAAGTTCAGACAAATGGTAGCTTTTACAACGAATCAATTCCTTTGCCGAAATTTCCACATCACAGATCATTCGGCCACAGGTAGCATTTCTTTCACCAAATCCACTCCTGCCCTACAAGGGGAGGACAAAAAGCAAATCCCATGGAAGAACAGACACTGAGAACATTTCGTTTGAACTTGCTTTGAGGCTAACCCCAAAATTACAATGAGGAAACTCTCATTCTTCCATTCATCCATTCATTCAGCCATCAATCAAACATTTTTGAATGACACTATTCTAGGCACTCGGGATACAGCTTTAAGCAAAAGAGAAAAGATTCCTGATCTCCCTTGAAATATACAATAAAAAACAGACATTATAAACAAGAAACCACATCATTTTAGGAGGTTATAAGTATATGGAAAAGAGAAATGGTAGAACAGGGTGAGGGAAACAAGGAATTTAGGGGGCTGCATCTTAAATAGGGTGCTCAGAGTAGATCTCACTGAGAAGATGCCATATAAAGAAAACCTTGAAGGGAGTAAGCAGTTAGTAAAGCAAGTGTTTGGATGAAGTGTTAATAATGACTCTATCACCTTAAAGATATAAATAGGAAAAGAAGCAAGAGCAATGGCCCTAACTCCAATCTGTAGCAACAGATTTCTCTGGAGAGCATTATAAAATGTACAGATTCCTACCTTCTCTGATGAGGCAACAAGCCCATTTTATTTACAAGCTTTAGGTAAAATAAGATTTCAAGCACTGAGCAGTATCAGGTTTAGGAAATGAAGGCACTCCATACAAAAACCACCGAAACATGCCTAAGTGAAGCAAGCAGGTAGAATGAAAAGGATACAGGCTTTAGAAAAGTCAGACAGGCCAAGGTTCAAAGTCTCAGTTCTTCCCCTTACTAACTCTACGATCTTGAACAAGTTGTTACCCCTGTGAGAATGTACAATAAAACTGGAGTTGCTGTGAAAGATAACTACACAGAAGGCACTCAGCCCACTGCCTTCTTCTATATTCAATGTCAGCTCCCTCCCATTCTTCTTCCCATCTCTTTCCTGAATGATAACACTCAGTGATTTCTGAACCCTGCAACTCTGCTTTAAGGGCTAGTGCTTTGGTAATGCCAAAGTTGAGGTAACATTCATGTGCTGTCTCTAGATTCTAACAGCTGATTTTAAAAATTACCATTGGCTTTTACCAATAAAATGCTGTACTCAAATGAAAAGATGTTTAGTGACCAAGTCAAAATGTCCTATAACAAGACAACCAATTCTTAGTCAAAGAAGCACAGTGCATTCCCTGGTAGCTACTGCACATAAAGAAAGCAAATAAAGAAGTAAGATTTTGAAAATTATTATTACCCCAAGCTTTGGCATGTTGGATCGCTTCAGTCGACCTATCTTGGACCAGTGAGGAACTTTGCACATATTAATTCTCTGCAGTAGCACTTCCAGTTCAAACCCATAAATATTATGACCCTAGTCAGAAAAAGAAGGCAGCCAATAACATTATAACAAACGCAAATTAGATGATTTACCTTCATATGCATAGAATTTCTTTGCCCTTTCTTTTTCTGGTGTCTAATTGAAGGCATCATGAGCTTACCTCCGATTGGGGTCCTTTCTTCTTCAGGAATTTATTCATCAGCAGCATTCATTAGCCTTGACATTAACAAGGCTGCTAAGCAGATTGCTTGAATAAACTTTATTTCATCCTAATTGATGCAAGGTTCACATGATGTCTTTTAATTTGCAGCTCATGTCTCACAGTCTCAGAGGCAAATGTAAATTTTAATGTCCCATACTTTTTATGTGATCAGTAAAAGCTGTATTCAAACAATTCCATTTCACTTAAAAACTGAGAACACGCTTGTGCTGTGTGACAGTTTACACAGACTTAGAAAACTCAGGAACTGCATCTAGTTTCTTCTTAAAGAACCGAGTTCAAATACTACTGACTTAGGCTCTTAACCAACACGCAACAAAACATATAATACCACTCGATAGTTCAAATAAGAAACTTGTTAAAAACAAGGAAACAAAATTATACCAAGTAGAAAATATCTCAAAAATGCAACCAAATTTTCCATGTCTATAATGATAATCTCCATCAGGTGAATAATATGATTCAATGCCCATGTTTATTTAAAAACTAGATGAAGTTTAAAATAAATCAGATCAATAAACAGATTTACTTGCTATTAATTTTAATTAAAAATATATACCACTATATATCTATGGCCATCTTCTCTATTATATTAAGAAACCCAGAAGACATGGGGAGGTCACATTTCCAAATTATCATGCCTGGGATTAACGACTCAAACCCATATTAGGATTCTCTCTTATATCAGTTTGGATTTCTCACACAGACGTGGCTCTAACACCTCAAGGCAGGACAGGTATCCTAGGTACCACGACATCTCCTTGGGGCCCAAGAGAGAGACTGCTAGTGGAGGCTGGGTGAGGGCCTAGTGTTGAGCCAGAGCACCACAGTAGGGCACTGTGGACAGAATCTTCCTGGTACTTTCAAGATGGGTCCTGAAATATCTAAAGGGAAGCGGGTGCAGAGATACTGGTAACAACCCACAGGCCCTCGGTTTTAGCTATAACCATCACCAAGAAGGGTGTCCAAGAGCAAAATTAACGTGGAGAAATACATGGCAAACATTTTTGCAAGGCTTCAATATAACCAAATTACCAATATCACATTTAAAATATAGGCATTTATATCCTACCTTCCTCCAAAAAAACAAAAGCACAATTTGACTGATCCGTTAACCCAGAAAAAAGACAAAAGGAAGCACTCCTATCAAGGAGCCTACAAACTAAGAAAGGTCAGAGGAAACAAAAGCAAAACATTGCTTTATGATCCTTAAAAACTGGGGCAAAGACAACTCAATGAATTATTAGCTCTCCCGCCGTCTAGTGGGAGCATACCCGATCATCAAGAGAAAAAACGATTCCTAACCCTGAGCTCTCAAAGGAATATGTCATAGAGACCCACCGAGCTCATAAAAGTAAAAAACTTATGGTTTGGGGATTGGCACCAAACCAATGGAATCACCTCCTGTGACCACTACACAGCTAGGCCACTAAGCCAAAATTTGACATACCAACAGTTGATATGAGTTTACTTACTCATGGGCTGGTCTCTAACTGTTAAATAACTGGAGTATCCTAAACTTCAACTATAACTCATGAGTTGCTTTTCTATTGCAAAGAAAAAAAAAACTATCTTGCAGTGGGCTAGGATCTTTTCCACTTTCGGTTAGTAGAAAGTATAGCAATTCCCATCAGTTCATAGGGTCATTTCACTCTGAAAAGGGTCTTTGCTGCTCACAAAGTACCATTCAAGTCACACTGAAAAGAACTAAGGAATGAAGAGCTTCCCCACGACATGATCAAACATCTACTCACCACAATGATATCAGGATCAATTTTGTGAACTTTTGCAAGGAAAAAACCTAGCAGTGTTCTTTCTGTTGCAGCAACCTCAACCTTCACATTCTGTTAGATAAAAACATACCAGTCACTTACTCTTTATTCTCAAGTACTATACCTTGGCTCCTTGTTCAAGCAGAGTAAGATTTCTTAGGGATAAAAGAAACCATTCATTTCAAAACTAAATGCGGCAATGAAATTCCTGATTCCAGGTTTCGCAGTAATAATTGTACAAAGTCTTTTGGGAGCTCATTCTAGAAATAAGCGTGTGAATGAAGCAAAATTTTAAGTGCTGAGCACTATCAAGTGCAGAAATGTCCCTCCATAGGGACAGGCTTGGGCATCTGGACACATTTTATAGCATATGAATTAGAGTACCTATCAAAAACATTACTTATTTTCCTATATAATCCCTGGTAGACTTCATTGTTTATGTATTTACCACAGAAAGAAATTCCAAGGATTGTATAAACTAATCTCAAATCATGGTCTAAGAACCTATAAATAAGAGACTAGACTAAAAACAAACACACATTTAAGAATTACAAGTGTCTTACACATAAAAAAAACCCCATCTTCACACAAAAGGTTTCCACTTGGATTACTGAATATAAATCAGGTATTCAAAAGATCCGCTCTTATTAAGAATCTCTTAAAGTGGAAGTTGATGGTTATGTTTTCTACAACTAGCTCAGCTAAAAAATATCAGTTAGATTCTAATGGAATTTTCCTAGGTCATTTTACTTGGATAGGGAATTTAGGGTACTTCACAAATAATAGCCTGATCCAACAGTACCCCCAGACTACTGGACTTCTTGATTTTTAAATTTTTTCCACAATTTAAAATAAGTGGAACTTGACAAGGTTGTTAACTTTTGTCAAATGAAGACGTTAAAAAAACAAAACAGGGGCCAGCCCCGTGACGTAGTGGTTAAGTTCAGCACACTCCAACTGCAGGCGCAGACCTACATCACTCATCAGCCATGCTGAGGTGGCGACCCACATACAAAATAGAGGAAGACTGGCACAGATGTTAGCCCAAGGCTAATCTTACTCAAGTAAAAAAAGAGGAAGATTGGCAACAGATGTTAGCTCAGGAGGAATCTTCCTCACCAAAAAAAAAAAACTTACAAATTTGCCAACACAAGCATTTCATAAAAGAAAAAAACATGCTCTCCAAAAAAGAAACTCTTTACATTGAATACATTTACCTTTGAGAAAAACTCACTACATTATACTACTTTTTCCCTCTATTTTACTAAAGACCCATGAAAACTTCTTCACAGAGTATACTGGGAGTTTAGAGACCACTAATCAATTCTGGCCATCCCACAACAACCTTTCCAATACATGTCTCCTTTAATATCCACAGTATTCCCAACTTCACTTGGCTGCCCTTCAAGCTGGGGTGTGGGGCTGAAGGGGTTCCACCCAACATTTTCCGAAAACTATAATCATGAGATTGTGCATTTTGGAAAAGCTTCCAATTAAGCTATCTGAAGGAGGGTCTGAGCCCATCTATCTACTAATATGGTGTAGAATCTCATTATTTTCAGGTGGTAAAACATTTAAACATTGTTAAATAATGTTTCTAGCTTTATATTTCTAATACATTTTTAATGGATTAATGTCATTGTCCAATCTAGCAAAAATAGATCTAATAAATTAACATAAAAATAGTCTATTTCTACTAATCCACATCATCCTCCTTTTCTCTTTCTCAACAAATAGATGCTTCATATTTAAAAGGAATAAATAATGAATTCTTTACCTTTTTCTTAATGTCTTCTAAGAAAGCATGTGGAAAAATACAGTCCTTTGGTTTAGACACAACTGTAAGAAGGAAAAAAATTAAGATTCCAACACCTATCTTAGTCCAATTTCAAGTACACCCACATTGCATGTTTCTGAATGGAAACTGTCTTAAACATAAATAAATTCCCCCTAACCCCTAAAGAGTTAAGGGGATCAAGAATTTCCATTAGTCATGTTGTGGGATCTCAAAAGAAGCCAAAACAAACAATCCTAAAATCAAAATGGAACCACAAAAGACCCCAAATAGCCAAAGCAGTCTTGAGAAAGAAGAACAAAGCAGGAGGTATCATGCTCCCTCATTTCAAACTATACTACAAAGCTATAGGAATCAAAACAGTATGGTATTGGCATAAAAACAGACATATAGATCAAAACAGAAAAGAAAGCCCAGAAATAAACCCATGCATATGGTCAACTAATTTATGACAAAAGAGCCAAGAATATACAATGGGGAAACAACAGTCTCTTCAATAAACGGTGTTGAGAAAACTGGACAGCCACATGCAAAAGAATGAAACTGGACCACTATCTTACACCACACACAAAAATTAACTTAAACTGGATTACAGATTTGAACATAAGATCTGAAACCATAAAAATCCTAGAAGAAAACAAAGGCAATAAGTTCCTTGACATCAGTCTTGGCAATGATTTTTTTGGATTTGACACCAAAAGCTAAAATAAACAAGTGGGACTGAAGTAAAAAGCTTCTGCACAGCAAAGAAAACCATCAACAAAATGAAAAGGCAACCTACCCAACAGGAGAAAATATCTGCAAATCATATATCTGATAGGGGGTTAATATCCAAAATGCATAAGGAACTTATACAACTCAATAGGAAAAAAACAATCCAATAAAAAAAATGGGCAGAGGATCTGAATAGACATTTTTTCCAGAGAAGACATTCGGATGGCCAACAGGTACATCAAAAGGTGCCTAAACATCACTAATCATCAGAGAAATACAAATCAAAACCACAATGAGATATCACCTCATACCTGTTAGAATGGCTATCAGCAAAAAGACAAGAAATAAGCGTTGGTGAGGATGTGGAGAAAAGGGAATCCTTGTGCACTGTTGGTGGGAATGTAAATTGGTGCAGCCACTATGGAAAGCAGTATGGAGGTTCTTCAAAAAATGAAAAATACAACCACCATATGATCCAGCAATTCTACTTCTGCGTATTGATCTGAAGAAAATGAAAACACTAACTCAAAAAGATGTCTGCACCTCCATGTTCACTGCATTATTTACAATAGCCAAGACACAGAAGCAACCTACGTGTCCATCGATGGGTGAATGGATAGAGAAAATGTGGTATATTTTTATACAGTGGAATATTATTCAGACATAAAAAAGGAAATCTTGCCATTTGCAGACCATGAGGGCATTATGCTAAGTGAAATAAGTCAGACAGAGAAAGACAAATATCATATGACATATGGAATCTAAAAAAACAAAAATGAGGCGAAGCGCAGGGGGCTCAGATTACACAGCCCTTGACCCCCACACGGTGACAGCAGGTGGAAACTGCAACCAGATATTTCCAAGATGAGGAAAAACAAAGCCAATACAGCAACCATGATGCAAAAGTACATTAAATCACCAGACCAGGAGGAAAATTACAAGCACCCAGAAATTAACCCTGAAGGCACAAAAATCCATAACTTAACCGACAGAGAATTCAAAATAGCTATCATAAAAAAGCTCAACAAAATACAAGAAAACACAGATAAACAATTCAACGAGATAAGGAGATTCGTCACAAAAGAGATTGAAATCATAAAGAAAAACCAATCAGTATTGATGGAAATGAAGAACACAATGGAGTAGACAAAGGAGAATATGGAATCTTTAAAGAACAGAGCTGACAGTATGGAGGAAAGAATCAGCATTATAGAGGATAAGAATACAGATATGCTCCAGATGGAGGAGGAGAGAGAACTAAGACTAAAAAGAAATGAAGAAAGTCTCCCAGAAATATCCAACTCAATTAGGAAATGTAACATAAGAATTACAGGTATTCGAGAGGGAAAGAGAACAGAGAACCTATTCAAGGAAATAATAGCTGAGAACTTCCCAAATCTGGGGAAGGAGCAGGAAATACCAGTAAGTGAAGCCAACAGGTCACCTAAATATGGCAACAGGCAAAGGCCCACTCCACGGCATATAGTAGGAAAACTGGCAAAGGTCAATGACAAAGAAACAATATTAAGGGCAGCTAGACAAAAACAAAGAATAACGTACAAAGGAACTCCCATGAGGCTCTCAGCAGATTTCTCAACAGAAACTTTACAGGCTAGGAGAGACTGGAATGATATATTCAAAACACTGAAAGACGAAAACTTTCAGCCAAGAATACTATATCCAGCAAAAATATCCTTCAAATATGATGGGGAAATATTAACTTTCCTGGATAAACAAAAGCTAAGGGAGTTTATGGCCACAAGACCCCCACTACAAGAAATGCTCAAGAAGGCCCTCACGCCAGAAAAAAAGAAGAGAAAGGGAATACAAAGCTTGGAGCAAGGAGAAAAATAGGTAGACAAAATCAGAAAAATCTACTTTTTTTAGTAGATCTTCACTGGAATAGGATAGTAACCACTTAAATACCAAAATCAAAGATCAAAGGAAGGATCTCATCAAAAATAAATATAACCTCATAACTTTCAACACACACCACAACACAAGATAAAATAAGTTGTGACAGGAATAACTTAGAAGGGGAAGAGGAAAGAGATCAAATTGACTTAGTAAAAGGGAATAAGAGGCCATCAGATAATGGACTATCTCATACACAAGACTTTTTATACAAACCTCAAGGTAACCACTAAACAAATAATCAGAACAAAATCATACAGAATAAAGAGAAAACTAAAAGAATCATAAGACAGAACAACCAAACTGAACTGGCAGGCCGAAACACATGGGACAAGAAACAAAGGAAATGCAAAAGAACCAGAAAATAAGCAATAAAACAGCAACATTAAGCCCCTCATATATCAATAATTACACTAAATGTAAATAGATTGAACTCTCCAATCAAAAGACACAGAGTGGCAGGATGGATTAAAAAGCAAGATCCAACAATATGCTGCCTCCAAGAAACACATCTCAGCTCTGAAGACAAACACAGGCTCAAAGTGAAAGGATGGAAGTTTGTTTGCCAAGCTAATGGCAAACAAAAGAAAGCAGGTGTTGCCATACTCATATCAGACAAAGTAGACTTCAAGATAAAACAGGTTATGAGAGACAAAGAGGGGCAATATATAATGATAAAAGGAACACTCTACCAAGAAGACATATCAATTATAAATATATACGCACCCAACAAAGGAGCACCAAAGTACATAAAGCAACTATTAACAAATCTAAAAGGAAATATTAACAACAACACAATATTAGTAGAGGATCTTAATACCCCACTTACATCAATGGATAGATGATCCAGATAAAAAAATCAATAAAGAAACAGTGGACTTAAATGAAAAACTGGATGAGATGGACCTAGTAGACACACACAGAGCACTCCATCCAAAAACAGCTGACTACACATTCTTTTCAAGGGCGCATGGAACATTCTCACGGATAGACCATATGCTGGGAAACAAGGCAAGCCTCAATAAATTCAAGAAGATTGAAATCATAACAAGCATTTTTTCAGACCATAACGCTATGAAACTAGAAATCAACCACAAGAAAAAAACTGGGAAAGTGACAAAGATGTGGACATTAAACAACATACTACTGAACAACCAATGGATCATTGAAATTAAAGGAGAAATCAAAAAATATCTGGAAACAAACAAAAATGAAAATATGCCATACCAACTCATATGAGACGCAGCAAAAGCAGTCCTAAGAGGGAAATTCATAGCAATACAAGCCCACCTCAACAAACAAGAAAAAGCCCAAATAAGCAACCTTAAATTACACCTAACAGAA